CAAGAAAATTCACCAGAACTTCAACTGAGTAGTCTGTCTCTCTGAGCAACTCCCTGTTTGCAGCTACTGGTTCTTCTCAGTTTGGGGAAGGCAATCCAAAATCAATCAGGTTTTTTCTGCATAGCTCCATCACTTTGTCTTCCAGCATGATCAGAGCCCTGTTGAACATGTCATCCATGAACTCAATCTCTTGACCAGGATGTTCTCTTCTTGCTTGATGAAGCAGATCCTCTGTAAGACTTTCTTGGTGGTTTCTCCAGAGCTGACTTGGGTTGGAAAGTCCACATATAGCAATCATGATGGCAAACAGGTTCCTCATTCTCATTGGCGATTGAGTAGCTGCTGCCTCTTCTAATGTGTCATTCCAGTGACCATCATCTTCCAGTAGGCCAAGGTGATTGCACGTTTCCTGATAGGTTCTGCAGACTTGTCCATTCACTGTGTTGAGTGCTGCATATGATGTTGGGCCATGGATGTGGTGCAAAAGTAGTCTCAAACAACAGCATTCAAAGTTGTTGGGGTGAACCGTGTAGACACATCCCAAAGCATTGCCTGACTTTATCCCTGGATATCCTTCAGCATCAGATCCTTGAGCTCTTCTCTGGAACTTTTTCATTGAAGTCTGCCATATGTAGAATTTTGGTACATCAACATACAGGAGTATTTGAGGAAATTCATCTTCCTGTGAAAGTTTAAAGAATGCAGTGAGGTCCGGGCAGCTCATTCGCTAGGCCACTGTAGGACGCTCCACATTGTCTCACTGTTCAGCCCCCAAAACTTCTTCTGCCATCAATAGTTCATTAACAGTGTATGTAAGTTCCACTACAACGGCACAGCAAAGTATATTTTTTTTAGCATTAAACTGTTATTATTTATTGTCTAATCATCACTACATATAACACCACCCATCATCACTACATATAACATCACCCAACATCACTACATATAACACCATCCATCATCACTACATATAACACCATCCATCATCACTACATATAACATCATCCATCATCACTACATATAACACCATCCATCACCACTACATATAACACCACCCATCATCACTACATATAACATCACCCAACATCACTACATATAACACCATCCATCATCACTACAGATCGGTAAAGTAGTTTCCGAGGTTCTCGTCTTGGACACACAAACAAACAAACACACAGACATACTTCTTTGTTTTATATATATAGATACTCGAAGAACCCATAGATAGAAGATTACACAAATCAGAATCGCAGCTGACAGTTGTTACAGTAATGAGAATGGCACTGGCGAAGATGATAGTTGCAGTGCATAATGACCATAGTCATTGGTCCATAGATGAGAAAAAGACTGTTTACAAGTTGAGTATGCAGCTTTGATATGCAGATTTCAAAAGTGCTTCTCCAATTTATCAAAATACCAATGCATTGTTTTTCTTGTTACAGGTACATAGAATGAGAACAAATTAAATGAGGATACAGGGTGCCACTATAGCCAAGGTCTACCGGGACATTTACACTATAGCTTGCAGTCTACCTGGGATACCTACACTGCAGGCTTCAATTTAGTATTGTTATATAGTATTATTTATTATATAGTAGTGTTTAATGTTAAAAAACAAAATTGTTATAAATAATTTTTTAATGATCATTATATAAACAAAACCTAACCTAAACTAATCTAACCCCCTTTTATAAGCCGAGATATACGGTAAATTATTTCTGCAATTGTTCACAAGCAAAACACATAAATCAATTGAACATGTGATGTCGAACGTGAACTGTAAACACTGCATAACCGGCAAGCCACAACAACCGTTAAGTGGAATCACTGGAATCATAGAGCAAACGCGTTCGCGTTTTACAAATATTGTTCCTCTATTCATCAATCGCGTAAGAGCCAATTCGCGTTGTCAAAACAGGCGTTATAGCAGAACTCCCTGTATTTCCAATTTGACTACGTACATGTATACAAGGAGCTTAAGGGGAATGGCTGCATATAATGTTACCGCCTGGTTCTTAATCAGTTACTGACTATAATACTGTACATAAGAGTAATCTTTGGGAAGAATAGGATAAAATCTCTCTCTCTCTCTTCTCCTGATTCATAATTATTACCCCATCAATTAAGGTAGAAATCATATCGAAGTGCAGTAAATCACAATGTCATTGTAATTGTGTATGACATCATAATATACCTGTAATTACTATACAGGTATTTGCAAATGATGTAATATCAGATCATGGTGTTTTATATGTCGTTCGAAGCGATTCCATTATAACATCGGTTCATGAAACATAGTAACTTTATACAGTACAAGTATTCCTATTTGGCACCCCATCCCTGGGGCTGAAATAGAATCTAAGGTGTATGAATCAGCGGAGTTATTCATGATGTTATTAGTTTGCATATGGTATCACAATTCATCCTAATTTATTATATTATGTAGAATCAACCTTTTTAAAACTTGGTCAAACTTAACTTTTAGGAACATTTTGGTCACACTTGACCTAAGAGCACTGTGAATCCTATTAACTACCTTTGCAATATTCCCAAGGATTCCAGGAAACTACAATGTTAAGGAAATTAATATTGTTACTTTATTTACTTTCCAGTGATCATCATATAATTCTCTATTATCCAAACAATAAAACCCTTCATAAAATAACAGGAAACATAAATATGAAGTTTCATAGCTTCCATAATAATTAATACAAAATCAGAAATAAAAATAAGGAATCGATAGTTCACTACTCCTTAATTTCATTGCTATAACCATGTTACTACAGTAGTGGTTTTAAACATGTCATGATGAGTAAATTTTATATTCTAACAGCTTAGTGCTAATCCATACTGGAAACATGCATGTACAGTCTTGTTCAAGATTTTTTGAACACTGCTGGAGACAGCTGGCAACTCAAGGCCATTTGTTTACTATACTAATGAAAATGTAAAAGTGATCGGTGATTGGTTATTTAGTTCCCCGTTGCTTAATTTACTGGTTGGGCTTTGTTGTTTTGTATAATATTATACTACAGTGGTAGCGGAAAGTTTGGGCGCAAGACGAATGTAAACAATTGTGACATTTAAATAGACATTTAAAGGGCTCATGACGATTTTATTTGCATGCGTATTTTCCTCTAAGCTTGATGACCTTCTCCAAACGTTGTATGCATCTTGCCAGTTTTTCACGTGTTGGGGAAATGATATTATCCCAAATATCCTGTATTTCTATTTTAGCTTCGCTACTGTCAGCGCCACGATCCTGAAGCTCTTTTCTAATGATATGCCACACGTGCTTTATGGGATTTAGGTCTGGTGAATTCCCAGGCCACTTTTTGAAGTAATCTACACCACAGTCCTCTAACCACTGGATAATAGATCGAGCTGTGAGCAGGAGTCCACCTGATAAACCAGCTAGCGTTACACTTTTCAAAGCAGGCAGGTTATATCACAATAACCTTCGAATAACTGTGCTGATTTACACCTCATTTTTTTCAAAATACTAAATTGCACTCCACCAAATGCAAAGCATCCCCACACCATAACACTTGGAGCATGCTTTACAACTTTAGCTCTGTAGCGGGGTCATTTGGGCCGATCTTGGGACGCCTGACACGCTTGGACCTGCAGCCAGACGACACCACAAACATTGACTCATCACTCCACAAGACTTGTTCCCAGTCTTAGGGTCCAACCTTATATTTCTTGCTAAAAGCAATGCGATCCCGCATATTTTTTGCACTTAAGAGGAAGAACTTAGCACAACAACTGCGATATTGTAAATCTTTGAGTAAATGATCAGAAATACATCTTACAGACACGTCCTGGAGCAGTGCAGGGTTATTTTCCTTCAGTTTTCGAGCTGTGAGTGTTGGATTTTTATCCAACTGCCTCTTTATAACCTTGGAAGTATGATTTTGTATTTTCCTTGGCCTACCAGAGCGAGGCTTGGGGGTAGGAATATCCTCATCCGCCTTTCTAAATTTCTTGATCCACTTTTGGAACTTGTCGCACTTATTCCCACACGAGGGCTATATCTTACACTTATAACCTCCTTATAGAGGGTTATAATAGCAACAATTGTGTCTCTTCCCAGCTCTTACCACTTCCCATTACAGAGATATTGAGGCACAAACACAGAAAAAACGCAAAAAACGACTAGTCCGCATGAGAGAAGTTTACACACTGCACCCACGTGCTACCGAAGCGACTAATCAGAGTTGCCAAGTCGTAGTGATTGTCTCGCTAAAAAGGCACAAACCCTAGCATTGAAATATTTTCATCTTGAATGCTTCTATTTTATCTGATGTTGAAAATACATCCATATCCTTTCCCTGAAGGCTCACATTCAGTACATTTAACTTTTCAAACATATCAGCAAGGTACCCAAGTTTTGAGATCAACAAATCATTGTGGAAGTGAGCTGCTCTGGGACAATCAGTTTCAGAGAGAAACTCAAAGAGCCTCCTTAATACAGTGCCCCGAGACAACCAATGAACTTCACTATAGTACAAAAGAGTCCTATCACATTCTTCCATGCCCTCACATAGTTGCTGAAACATCCGTCAATGTTTGGCTCTCGATTTAATCAATATGATAATTTTCACTAATTGCTCCATGACTTTGTCAAACGGGCTGTTTACTTTGTCATGTGACAGTTTCTCACTTGCTAGATTCTGTCTGTACAGGTCACAGTGTGAACTCGTGCCAGTTAGTTGCGTGTTCCTTGATCATTGCTGCTGCCCCATTTCTGACACCAACCATAGCTGCAGCACCATCTGTCGTAACACTGGAACACCTTTCAAGAAGAATAGCATGACCGTGTAAGAAATTCAGTGTGGCAGTCCCAATCGCATTTCCTGTAGTTTCTACTCCAATATCTTCACAAAAAAAGGATATCCTCATTATTACTTCCCTTCTCAACATCTACCATTCTAACAAATTCCATCAGTTGAGCTCTGTTGCTAATATCAGTCGACTCATCGAATTGTAGTCCATACCAAGGACTTGTACGTAGTTTTTTGACGACTTGGTCAAGCAAATCTTCAGACAGCAATCGACTTCTCCTCTCAACAGTACTGGTTGACAATGGGATATTCTCCATCTTGGCTTTGGCAGACTGTCCCAATACGTCTTCTGAAGTAATATACAGGGCTGGAACAATGATCTTCTCTGCGTCTGTGAATTGTTTCTTTTTGTCCCTAGAAGGTAAGCAATACACAGAGAGGCTCCAACTCAGTGTGCAGTGAGCTCTGATGCTGTACTACTGTGACGTTCTTCTAAGTTATGCGATGAAATTGCCACATTTCGTTTCAAGTTTTCAAAGTAAGACTTGGGTTTGGTTTCAAGTCCAAGATGTTTTAATTCACGATGACGTAGGAGTTTGTTTGGTACTAAGCATCCATTGACCATCTTTTGGGGACACAACAAACAATTAACCATTGGGTAATCTTTTTCTCTTTCCTCTTTGGTCAAGTAAAGCCAAATTTGACGAAATAATCGTTCCACTTCCTAATGGACCTTCTTCTCACCCTCGTTCTCCTCTTAACTGCTGGTCTCGTGATGCCATATGGAAGTAGGATCTACCATTAGACAATACTGTACATTATGCTTCCAATATCTTCACAGGCGGTAGTATCTCCCTGGTTGGTAGCTGCCTACTACCTATACACAAATTTTAGTAATATTACTTTGATACAACATGATAAATTAGACAAACAATGAAAATAAACAAACAAAAGTTATTTACCAAGACCTTCTCTCTGAGAACAGAGGGTAATAGATGGAGAGGAGATAAGAAGGCTATTTATAGCCCGTCTTTGTGTAGGAAGTCGACCACACTATAAATAATTCATTTAAAATTTATATCTTTTACATAGAATATTCAGTACATGACTGCGATTATAAAATAGGCCGAGATATACGGTATGTAATATTTATGTGTGTGTAATGTAAACAGAGCGCTTGGCCTCTCTCTCTCTCTCTCTCTCTGTATGGATGAAATTCGTGGTTTACTGTAGAGTGAGTGATACGAATGTCGTAACATTACTAGGCTGAAGGCGCCTGAATACTACTTAAACACATCAAAATTATGTTAATTGATCACTGTATAATAAATTCATTCACTCATAATTTAAAATTCCCTTATCATCCTGTGTTATATACAGAAATACTCGAGTCCCTGAGCGAGTACATAAAAAGAAAACGGAGGCCTAAGACATCCTGAAGTGGATAGAGAACGGACATCTCTACTGGGGGACTCAAACAATTCTTATGTTTTGTGGGCGCTGTAGCATAATATGAATAATATGTAAATTATAATTTACATATATATATATATACTGTATGTAAATTGTAAAAATTTAAATAAAAGAGAAAAACTTCATCACGTACCGTATATCACGGCCTATAAGGCGGCGGGGTGCATAAGACGCCCCCCCCCCAAATTTCCATTTAAAAAGTAGCTTTTGAGCTCTATTTGCTGTATAAGACCAGTACCCCAAATGTGACACTTACCACTGACTCAGTAGTCCTTTACCAACCATCCTTGATTTTTTAAAATAAGGCCAATTCACTTCAAGTAATGTCATCAAATTATACCCGCTGGTGTAGTGTAAACACTAGTGACGTCACTGAAGCGTGGTGGGAGTGTTCCCTCGTCTCGGTGGTGTGACTATTTATACAACATGTGGTTCAACAGCAACCACCGTATTCTAATTGTGGTGTTTCATTAGGATTTGAGTGAAAAAGGTTACCAGTATGTACTTACTACATACATTTATTACACAAATATATATATATATATATATATATATATATATATATATATATATATATATATATATATATATATATATATATATATATATATATATATATATATATATATATATATATATATATATATATATATATATATATATATATATATACATATATATATATATATATATATATATATATATATATATATATATATATATATATATATATACTATATATATATATATATATATATATATATATATATATTATATATATATACTGAATATACTATGTACAAAAAATGAATGTTCAATGAATTATTTATGGTGCATTAGGGTACTGGTCACTTCTGATGGGCTATAAATAGCCTTCTTTATCTCCCCTACATCTCACCCTGAGCCAGACGGAAGGGTCTTGGTAAATAACATGTTTGCTTATTTTCCATTTACTTTAAATAGATTTACCGAATTATTTGTTTTATTTATTTATTTATAATATACTGTAATATATTAAACACACTGTAATTATTTTCTTTAATTTATAAACTGTTTTGCGACAAAGGAATGTTCTCCAGTAGTGTTTCATTAGGATTTGAGTGAAAAAATATTACGTACTTACACAATTGTTCCTCTTACTTTGACAACACAACATACATACAGTATATTATTTCTCAGTTTTGATCTTTTTTTTTAATTTTTGTATTTATTTATAGTTAGTTACTTAAAATAAGGCCAATTCACTTCAAGTAATGGCATCAAATATTACCAGCTGGTGTAGTGTAAACACTAGTGACGTCACTTGAGCGTCTGTAATTAACCGTCGATAGTTTCAAGAATTAATGCACTTTTCCTTTCTTGTCTCCTCACTGGCAAATGGGGGGGGCGTGGGGAGGGGTGTGTGATGATAGCTGTGTTTATTACAGGGGTATAAATCTCTTTTACGGTATGTTAGACAGGTTTATAATACATTTTTATTATTTTAATATACCGGTAATCTTAATTTGAATCCAGTTTGCCAAACGTAAGTTTCAGTATAAAATAATTAGTGGTAAGACCTTGTGAGTGGCTTACGATGTTTTCATCACCACTCTTGACACACTAAACCACAATATTTAAGAGGTAAGAATTTTAAACTTGGTGGTTTAGACGACCCCCTAACTTTGGGCAGATTTTTTTAATGTTCAAATTTCGTCTTATAGGCCGTAATATACGGTAGTGTTTAAAGTGTACTGTACAGTGTTGTGGCTTGGCGCTGGGTTATGCAGTGTTTACAGTTCACGTTCGACATCACATGTTCAATTGATTTATGTGTTTTGTTTGTGAACAATTGCAGAAATAATTTATGTACTATTTATGTATACAGTATACCTGTACAGTATATGTAAATTGTAAAATTTTAAATAAGAGAGAAAAACAAAATACATAGCGTTTTAGACCCGCGCACTCTGTTTACTCCACACGTTCCGTTTGAAACAAGTGTGAAGTTTTTAAGCGTCCTCAGTGAATTCTGATTACTGTTTCTCCAATTTTGTGACTATGGAAAAGAAGAATATCTCTGGGAAGCGTTCTGGTGATCGCATTTCCGGTGGTGATCGTAAAAGAAAGGCTATAACACTTGAAGAAAAGCTTGATGTTTCATGACTCCTCAACATCAACCTTCTCCCCCATCAAGTTATATACATAGTTTTTCAAGGTAAAGTGTAACATTTACTGTATGATTTCATTATTAGATATGAATGTAACATTTATTTAGACTGTGCTATCCTTTGTGTTAGGCTAACTACGAATTTTTTTTTCAATTTGGAGTAATCTGCACCTAACCCTATTTTCTCCATAAGCCCTGTTATTTCTATTACGCGAATTTCTATAACACGATGTTTTACAAGAACACAACTATCGCGTTATAGCAGAACTACGTGTATAAGACAAGTGCTGCTGAGGCCACAAAAAAAGCAGTTTCCATTCAGCAATGGTGGTGAAACGATCTCGTCCTCCTTCACAGGTCATGCTGATAACATTAAGATACCGCCCAGCCTTCACTAGCGCCCACTCCTAGCTCCTCCTCACTGAATGTGAGAAGGACCTAGGTGTGTATGTTGACAATGAGCTGAAGTTCTCGGGCCACTGCAAAAAGATGATAAATCAGGCAAATAAATTATTGGGTCTTATAAGAAGGTCGTTCAGATATCTAGATGGTCCGTCCCTCATAACGATCTTCAAGAGTGAAGTGCTTCCCCATCTGGAGTACTGTCACCCCGTCTGGTCCCCGAAATATGCTAGGGACTGTCAACTGGTTGAAAATGTTCAAAGGAGGGCCACCAGACTGGTGCCTGCACTTCAACATCTCGACTACCCTGAGAGATTGGAGAGCCTGAACTTGCCTAGCTTATACTACAGACGGGCAAGGGGAGACCTAATTGAGGTGTATCGGCATCTCAAGGGGCACTACTCAGTTGAGTGTCCTTACTTGGAGCTGGTGGACGCTCGCCCCACAAGGGGTCACAACTCAAGATCGAAGAAGCCACAAGTCCAGCAAACTGTGAGGGCAAACTTTTTCCGAGTGAGGGTTGTGAACTCTTGAGACAATCTGCCAGAAAGTGTTGTGACGGCACCGAGTGTGAGCTCTTTCAAGACCAGACTTGACCAACACTGGAGCAGGTTCAGGTACATTCAGGAGCGAGTGCATGCCCAGTACTTGCCAACAATGTGTAACAGAAATGTGACCGATCGCCCAAGCGGCTAACGAGCTAATCAATGGTGAAGAGGATAAAAGTAAGTAGAAGAAGAAAAACCTAACCAACCTAACCAAACAAACCTACCTAACCTTACCTAACATTCTCACCGCGCCCCGGACCCCCGGTATATTAAAAACAGAAAGAACTTACTATATGTTGAAATTTTAGGCATTTTCTGGACGTGAGCTGTATCGGCGCTTACTGAGCCCGGGCAACGGAGTGATTTGTTATTGAGAAGGCACGAAACGCAAGCCACAGCGTCGATGAAGTGATGGATGATTGTTTCCAAACAACAACTGACTTAGCACACAAACCCAGTTCTATTGCTGTGAACAATACTTTCCACTTAAAGGAACGATGCCGTGGTCTAAGAAAAACTTTAGGGTCTCATTGTCTTTATCACTAAATTAGCAAATTACCTTACTTCCATATAAGACCGGTGACAACCTTCACAAGTCATGCTGAAAAAGAAACTGCCTCATTACCAAGACACGCAAGACAAACTAGTACGTGCCTTGGCGCCTAATTACCCATGAATCGAGCAATTTCCACAAGAAATTATTATATCACAACTCGCTGATGAAAATAATGTAAGAAAATAAACAGTAATGAAAATAACTCGTCGGCGGGTTAGTCCTATATATTAACCCAAATTTCAGAGCTTTGGCAGTAACAATTGTTTTTTCATTGAGGAGTGTGACCCATAAAGTACTAAAGGGCTTGATGCTATGACAAAACAATTCATCATGTAATTCTATCAGTTGTTGCTGCAGTCTGGGTGCACTGTCATCTCTTCCACGTGGACATTGAAAGGCTTTATCAAACCCAGTAGTGTTCTTGCTATCTTGAGTAAAGATACAGTGTTTATATTCTTCTCTGAGATTGTTCAAGTTCTCCAAGATAGTGCTATGAAAATCTTCAAATAATGCTGATGCATTTTCCTTCGTCTTCCAACAGGTAGCTTAAGGAAAGGAAAGAGGCCAGTCATTCCTCAATCCTTTTTGCCCTTCCACAACTTCCATTTGTCCTTAAATGAGGACAACCAGTCAGCGAGTTAAATGAAAGTGTGA